TATTATAATTTTCAGCGCGACTTTTTGAAATGTTCGAGGTATAATTATGTTTTAAATTGTTCGACATCATTTTCTTCCGATATCGACTTACACCGAAAAATGTACAACTGAAATCGTATAAATATTTCAAGATGCACTGAAAAAATACACATTTTTTTCAAGTTTAAAGAATATATTCAAGGCTTCAGACAAAATTTAAATTATTTATATTGATCATGGAAGACATTTAAACCCTAATTTCCAGAGAAAAGAGGAAATTATTAGGCAGATATTCGAGCTCATTTCAGTAAATCACATAAGACAATTTTTCTGCTTGATGAAACCTGCACAAAAGTCATTAATTTCAGCCTTCTCTAAATATCCTTCGACAAGAAATATCCATTGCCGCAAGAAAAAAATGCCTTGCTAATATTCAGTCTCATGTATATGGGCCAAAATATAACACGCAAATCCTCAGTGAACCCTGCGAAAAAATGCGAGCAATTTCTCAGTCACGCACTCGTTTATATATATATATATACAGCAGAAGGTGTTTCAGCGAAACCACACGCAAACGGTTTCTTCTTAAGCATCAGAAATTATCCAGGAAAACCACGAAGAAATCTTCCCTATTAGTTCCCTATTTTTTGTTTTGTTTTCTAACAGAAAATTAATCACCAAGTTTGACCGATATAATTAACCTCATACTGACGAGGCGCAAAAACATTTTCTTTCTCATCACGCCTCACATGAATTCTTTTTTTCACAAGGAGAAAACTGTTCCGTGGAAGCTTATTCAGGGTCTTTTGTGCGGAATTAACACATGAGATGAGACATATTTCATATCTGGGAACTAATATATGTGCAGAAATGAGTTTTATTTAGAAACTCAGAAGCCTGGATTGAGGAAAATTTACTTTTATTCGTGCGCACGTCATTTGTTTGTTCATAAACTGTTTGAAACTTGTTTTCACGTCAAGTTGCAGAAAAATAATTGGCAAATTCGCGACTAACGTCAAATATTTCAGCGAAATCTTTCGCTTTTATAGCGAGCATAATTTAGGTGTTTAATTATGGCAAAACTACAGGTCCTGAATATTTTTTATGCTCATTTATATTGTCGTTTTAATTCCTCAAAATGGAATTCGACATGAATGGAAAAAAAGAAGAATTGCTGATCGATGATAAAAAATATTTTTGTCAAACGTTTACCTGCTTTCTCACGAAAGCGCGTAAATCTTCGCCAATTTCCACGCGAAAAAGACCACCGGATAAAAAGTTTTGTTTAAAAAAAAGAACTAGAAATCAACACTGGAATTCTGAATGTCTTAATGTGATTTATATACAAGAATAAGAAAAAATATTTAATTTATAGCACAGAAACTTTTGATTGAGTAAATACCAGAACGAAAGTCCGCCATCTGAAGCAAGAAGTTTTTCACATATTTGCTTCAACATTTGATTCAATTGACCCCAGGTCTTTTATCTTTGATTCGATGAAACGATTTACTGTTTATTCAATTCATCTGCAGTCTATAGCAGTTAATTGAATACATTAAGTGGGAAAATGAATTCTTATCATCACGGAAAATGTGCTGATAATTTGCGAAGTATTACTTATTTATGAGAAACCTGATTTTCGATTTCAGCGATTTTATGACCGCCGTGATAAAATATCCCACGTCTAAATCATCATCATATTTCTTTTCTTTCGCAATGTTCTGAATCAATTCATGCATAATAGACGTAGAAATCGTGAAAAAACTGTTAACATTTTATTTCTCGAAGGAATGTTTTCTTGTAACATCGTGTAATTTCGTCAAAACTAAGGAAAGACTCTTTCGTTTTTCAGACAAAGTAAATCAGTTTTTCTCCATTTTTTTACAGGTTCTATTTTACTTCTATATTTTGCAGAACCTTTAAGTTACTTCGTTACTTTAAACTTATTCATGAATGACGTCAAGCGTACTGTAACCGTCGGAAGCTAAGCACCTTTTTAGTTCGACAACATCCAAAAAATGGCGACTCATGTTCCAAGTATCTTAAAATATAATTTCTACTAGAACTTCCCAGATAATTCAAGATACGTATATTTGAATACCTTGGATTCCTATTCGAAAATCCCTCAGCCTCAGTAAGAATCTGATCGCATTTCGTTCATTTTTTTCAATCACTTTCTTCGACCAAAAAAAAAATTAAAATCAAATCAGGAAAATTTCGCGAAAAAAGGCGAGAGTGAAAAAAATTGAATTCGCTTTCGTCGTTGAATGTGCGACAAGTCGACACTGAAGCTATTCGACACCGAGTGACGAGAAATCCTGGTCCAGGTCCAGCCTTTTATATTAGCGGCTCCCGGGTGCAAAAAACCCCCGCGAATTTCGACCCCTATTACTTCTGAGAGATAAAAAAAAGGGGGTTTATCTCGTCTTATTCCTCTTTTCTTCCATCCCGCGTCTCGTTTTCTTTTCATTATTTTTTTTTAATCCTTCGAAGCAATTTATTGCGTGCCAACTCATCATCATGCTGTTTCATTTAACGTTCAGGCTAAATTTTGGAATGGGAAAAAAACGTAAAAATACAGAGAAAATGAAGCTGTTAACGACGACATCCCGTTTTTAGCTTGAATAGAGCAAATTAACTCCCACGCTTTCAGTGTCGCATTCGATAAATTTTCCGCCTATTATTTGCGCAATAATGTGCCTGTAATTTTCAGGGAATGATTTTTCAAAGTGGCGATAACCTCAGGATTTTTCTGCTGAATGCCTCATAACGGTGATGACGAGATTAAGTCATAGAAACACCTGTCACCAAATTAGCAATTTTTGCGCAAATTTTCGGCCAGCGTATCGCCGAAATATCGCAGATTTTTAGCCTCGAATACAAATTAGAAAAGTGCTGTTTTTTTCATTTTTGAGTCAAAAATAAATCCTCTCGAAATAAATAAGCTTGATAAAAAAAAATGCGCATTTTTTATTGAGTATATCAGTCGTACAAGTTTATTCTGACACGTTTCATTGAACATTTATTCCAGGTTTAGAATAATTACTAAAAATAATTGTGTCGTGACTCATCGTGAGTAGAAGAAATATTCGAGATTTGCAAAGACTAATCTCGTATAAAAGTGCATCAGAGATTCTTCAGCATGAGAATCTAGGCCCAGAAAACGTTTTTTTTTATTCATTTTTTATATTTGAATCTGTTTCTAATTTGGGAATATATATAGTGACGGCAAACAAAAAGGGTGGGGCAGATAGTTTAAAAATAAAGATCCTCTGCAAAGGTTTGCCTTCAATTAGAAAGATGTACTGGGTGAGGCTTTAATCGCATCCCACGAAAACTTTGAACTTTCCTTCTACTTTCTCTTCGTGGCTTCTTTCAGAACTTTGTTATATACGCGAAAAAGTTATATGCCAGAAAATTTCATGACTGTGGATTTGTCATGAATCCCAGTGAAAGAGACTCTCTGAAGCCAGTTTTTCAAACTACTGTACGAAAGCGATAGTTAATTTTCTTGTCATTTTTGAGACTGAAAACGGTTCGAGTTCAGCACAAATTAGAAGATGAAATTTTTGTCTGCCAATCACGTTGCTTTGACGTCATCACGCCAGGTTATTGATTAAAATTCTCGACTATACATTCCATTTAACAAAGACAATTGCCAATTATGGAATTATTTTTTTTCATTAGTTCTTTCATATCCCCTCTGTGGCCAGCAGACCCAGATATTTTTGCAAAATTTGAATCCGAATGAGACACATTTCAAAAATCTAGACATTTTCTAGCATAGCAGAACTTTGGGAATACAAAAATAAAAAGCTGATCTTTTTCTGCTTTGTCTACATATTTTTGGCAAACAAATTCAACTTTCAAGAGCAGAAAACTTCATGAGAAGAGTTCTTCTTTTATGCGGTGCTTTTCAAGTTTCAACTCTGCTTTATTCGTTGTATAAGTTTTGAAAAATTCTGTATGAAAATTAAAGAAAAATTGTTTACCATAATCCCACAGGGAATTAATTGCATAAAAATCTCCCAATAATAATTTTGGCCATTTCCTGACTTCCAAATCAAAGTAAGTTCATTTTTTTCATGCGGGAACTTTTGAACGAAATCGGAAACAACGTAGGGTTTCATCGTGTCGACGACGTAGACTGGTGTTGACCGGTTAATTTGGACTAAAGACGACTCCGTACGTTCGGAACGGTTTTAGGACAAAACCGTTCTCTCACTGAGCATCATCCAAGGCCAAGATCACTTCCACAATTTTGCCTCAATTGGCCAATCATATGAGCCACCAAAAAAAATCCCCCTGGGTTTGAAAACCTTCATTCTTCTTTGCAAGGACCCAGCAAATAATTTGGCATAGCAAAACGCTTGGGAAATGCATTTCATGCCAAAACTGCCATGCATTTATGTTATGCCTACTCAGGGCTTTCAATAATGCGTTGCATGCGGGCGTTTTGATATGTCATCAAAACAGATGTGCAATACAATCCGCACATTTGAATAGTGGGACCATTTTTGAGAAGAAATCCAACATATACCCAGAAAGAAGAGAAAAACTTTGGGCAGCTGCTGATGATGATACCAACACATGCGTAGATTCAATTCCTCATCGACTGCACAAACGGCGAAAGAAGCCCTGATAACTGCACTGTATATTGTTGAGTAAGAGCTGATGGCTAGAGGAACAGGATAAATCAGGTCGAAATCGCCCTTTTTCCCTGGCCAACATTCATTTCAGGTCACGTTTCCGGATAATTCTGCACACGATTCGTTGGGACGTTATTCCAGAACAAAAAAAAAAAAAAAAAAGCGAGGAAAGCAATGCTGCCTTCCTTCTACTTTAGTACGGCCTGTGCATCTAGGATTTTGCGAAAGGAAGAAAAAAGAGTGAAACGAAAGTTTTTAACTATTGTAAGTTGGGAACGACGGCTTTATTGTTGGTCTTATATACTTTTCTGCTGCACATAGACACGAGGAATAATAGAGGGAAAGGCAAGGGATAAATAAAAACAAACAACATTTTCTCTGAAAGATTTCATTCGCACACGTCATTTCCGGAAATAATTTCCGATGTCAGAAAGCTTGAGTCTTGACTCTTGAGCACAAAAATCAAATATATACAAACGTACATGAATACTTATTCCGACACTTGAAATAAAATACCTGCAAATAAATAAGATGACATAAACTGCATCCGGGAAATTAAATAAGTCAAAATGAATTTTTCAAATCTAAATGAAGTTGCGCTCAATATTGTGATAATTTGAACAGCACCTCATTCGTTGCAGTACGTGTTTCTTGAAACGTTTGCGTCTACACAGTATTTCCAAAAATTATTTTTCCATTCTCAAAAAACATATAATTGAATAAAGACTCGAAGATTGTCACTAAAATGATGCTCCGCAAGCATATTCAAAACAAATAAGTCAAAAATCCGAGATGAATAGAAATAAATGCGAAATGATTGCAAATAAAAATGTACAGAAACTTTCTCAGCAGAATTTGGGTGCAATTTCAATTTTTTTTCGTCTGTCAATTTGAGTTTTGAACGCGAAAGAGTAATAATTTGAACTTCATACAAGCTAAGAAGTAATTTAAATTCATTTTTAAGAGTATATGCTCGTTTTCATTTACTTTAAACAAAAATATTACTCCAGTAAGAAAGAGGGAAATTTCCAAAACATGAATTTATGACCTCAATTAATGCTGTTTTCATCCATAAAATAATTTCTTTAAATTTCAAAGTACGGTATACTGTACAGTATTGTGATTTCGTCTGCTGCGCATTTGTTCAAGACATTTTTCTTCGAGATTTTTCCACGATAAAATAAAAAATTCAAATAAATATCCAGGTATTATAGAGACTGCATAATTATAGGCAATAATTCCGAGGATTTAGAAAATTAGCGATATTAATCCGAATACTTTCGATCAGGAATAGTATTCGTCAGATTTCAAAAGTGACGTGGGTCTTCGGAAACTCGAAGTACTGGTGCGTGACGGCGAAAAGTACTCTAACCCACTGCAATTGCCGACGTCTTCGTAATAGTCGTCATGGTCTTCGGATTTGGAATTTCCCGATGACTGGTTTTTGCCGTCGCTAGATGACGCTCCAGTCTCGTCGAATGCTCGATTTTTCATCGAACCACTGATGATGCCGCGTCGTTCGGGTTTGTGAGGCACGGATTTATTATTGTGATCGTCAATTGGAATGACGGAGTTGTTTTCCTCGGAAGGCCCGGATTTCGTTGCTGACGGTGATTGCAAAATGTTTTCGCGTGTTGTTGCTGATGATTTTGCACTGCATCATTCAACAGAATTAAATTCGAGAAAGAGAAAATTAGATTAAAAATCAGCATGCTTATAGATTAGCATATTTTATCACTGAGCTATGCACATGAATGATTCCTTTTGATGGAACCCAATATACGTACCTACAATATACAATGAATTACTCTACAAGAAGTTTTTATTTGCACTAATGAAGCTATTTCACTGGATTCAAATTGCTTCTTTATAATGAGATTTAACTGCTGCACCTCACAAAATTTTGAACCATGTAGAGGTCTTGGATATGCTTTAATTCAGGGCTATGTATAATGGTTACATATGTGAGATATGTCTGATTATTTGCTTAACCCTTCTGCAGAAAAGTTTGAATTTTTTGTTGAGATTTTGGGTATACTCAAGAGTCAAGAATAGCATTAAAAACAATGACAGTGTGTGCAGGGCAAACTCAGGAAAAATCCTGGCATTTTTCAATTTCCCACAAAAAATGTCACTTGGAAATGAAAAAAAATGAAATCTTTGAGGCTCCCTTTTTTCCCCTTGGCCTTGTGTTGTTCCCCATTCAACGATTAAATTTAAGCTTTAAAGCCAGGAGCCCAGGTTAGAGGTCAATGCAGAAAAAGTCCAACTTGAGACTTTCCGAACATTTCTTTATCCCTTTTTAAAATCCAACTTTGCCCTTCCCCACCTGGCAGGGGTTGCATAACCTTGTGCAAAAATGTTATGCAGGCCCAAGGGGAAAAAGTCCAAGTTTGCCCTGCGCAATGGAAACAAGGCTGCCACTGTCCAAGGGTCAAGCAAAGGTTAACATGAACCCCCCCCCCCCCTTGATGACAGAGGAGCCCTTCTATGGCTTCCACCTATATACACAAAACAGCAATTTTGTGAAAAAAATTTGACTTCAATTTTTTAAATTTTCAACTATCTTCCTGAAGTTTTTCTAAGTCCTCCAAAAGTTTCAGACTGAACTTTATAGATACACTTTGAAATAGAATCTGTCTTGAAAATTAAATAAAAGCCTCAGCCAATTTCGGCATTGGGATATTTTTATGCCTTTTTTAATACATTCATTTGGTAATTTTAACACTGGCAGTTGACACAATAAATACGCAGAAACATCTAACATGTGGCAAGCAAAATTCAGCCTGGCAGCAAAATTTGCGAAATGGGTCATATACAAAAAATAAAATAATATGCGATGCAGAGTCTTTACTAAAATGCTCAAATATTTTCCAAAAAATATAAATATGAATTACACGACTCACGAATTAGAAAGAGGAAGTGTCTCATTAATATCGTCATGCGTGAAAATGAAGGACCGTTGTTTTTTCACGGGTCGCCCGCGACGGGATTCTTCGTCGTCCCCTTCTTCAATCGCGTCAGCGGCGGTCGGTGCTGGTGGCGGCGGCGGTGGCGGCTCTTCGTCATCGTCGTCAATGTCGATGGGAAACATCTTTGGTTGACTTCCATCAGTAATTGCTATTGGAGTTGGCGGCAAGGGAAGCCAATCGGTGTCCTCGGCGCTCTGGGAAGGAATTTGTCATTTTTTATGTTTCGAATTAACGTCTGTGATCAGCTTGGAGAGGATGACGATAAGCAATTTGAAAATCCTAAAACGTCAATTGCCCTCATTTTGTTCATGTCTGAAGATGATTAGATTTTGTTGTTGTTGACATTTTAGACAGTTTTCGGGTTGCTGTTTTATAGAACACTTTTAAACATTTAAGGACAACCACCAAATTTTTTAATGATTTTGCAAAGTGGTTAAAATTACTTATTTGAAGCATGCCATGTTATATTTTATTCCAGTTGGATGATTGAAAACCAGCTCACAGAGTCAAATACAATAAATACTAATTTTTTACACAAATACTAATGTGCCTAATTTTTTTAGTCCCTGCTGGTGGAATTCCTTTAGAAAAAATGCATCAAACACACTTTTTCAAAGACATTCACCGTCAAAATTGTATAACTCAATTTTCTGAATGCATTTTGGCATATTTATTTGTTTAAATAGGTAGCCAATTTTCTGTATAATAACCGGAAATATTATATCAATTTGAATAATAACCTTAAGAGGCTGTATTTCAGTCCCATTCACTGCGTCTCGAAGCCGGAAGCTTTCCCGGGCCTCGGCGACTTTGTACTCGCCCCGTCTTCCGGAAGTGAAGGTTTTGAAAGACCTCTGTGCCCCGCGGAACCATTGGAAAACCCCGTTCCCAGGGCCGCTTTTGTCGCCATCAGGATTCGGATCCAATTCGGGAGACCAAGCGTAGTTGGGATCGTCCCTGGGGGGTTCCTGCTGGTAATCTGGCTGATCCACTGATGCTGCCGGGTACCTGGACCCGCCGCCGTCTTTCATCGCTTCTGCATTCTGTGAAGTGCAGTTCGGGGGCATTTGGTGGACAAGAAAAATATAAGACGTTTCAAAGGTTTCTCGTCTCGAATTGTCCCTGATATGGAAGTTCATTTATTTTTCAGTTGAACTTCATAAAGCGAAAAGCAAGAGATAATTTACTTACTTCGCATCATCAGTGAAAACTGAAACCAGCACACACTAGTTCTAGAATGTTGGTCACTTTTTCATGCCCAAACTGAAGAAAGGGAACACTCAACTGTATTTGATCATCAAGAGATTTGTTTCATGATGCTGGACATTTTCAGCCAGAAAATAGGTTAATTAATTAGAAAAAAATTTAAATCAGTGAAAGCCTTTGACATAAAATTCCATTCAATTGAAGAAGTTGAGAATGTCTTCAAATGCTCAAACTTCTGGTTGGCATTTGTATTTGATGCATTTTCATGCCACAGAATATACATTTCAAATTTTTAAACTGTTGATGTTATCCTTGGATGACTTAGCTAAATTGGAAGGTATGTGTTGAGACCCCCACATGTGGACACCTCAACATGCAGACCATTCAACATACAGACACTTATTTTCCAATAAAAAAGGTATAAATGAGGCCCAACATTTGGACATTGACCCAACATGCAGACATTGCATTCTGAAATCATAATTAACCCTCACACAGCAGAGAGTTCATTTCCATCGTGAGGCCAAGTCAGGATATTTTTGGGAGGTTGACCATTTCAGTTTTACCAAAGGTTGCAGAACATTCAAAAACTGATTTAAAATATTCCCACAATTAGCTACTTGTGAAAAAAGCTGATTTAACCCCCTGACCACAGCAGAGGGTTCTTTCCCATTGCCAGCCAAAGTTTGATTATTTTTGTCTCCTGGGGCGTTTCAAGTTTTCTGAAGGTCAGAAAAGCCCTTCCAGAGGTGTGCTGAGGCAGAGTCAGGATTAATCCACAAAAAGCCTGTTGCTTAACACACCATTATTTTTTTTCCTGCAAAATTTTTCTGCGCAAAAAAAAAAATCAGGATTTTTCCCAACTTTGTCCTCAACTCCTTGTTGTCATTTTTTTCTTTTCTTCTCTGAGGTGCAACAAAATTTTGCAAAAATAGTCCAACTTTGCTGCCCAAGGGTAAAAATTGCAGACCTTTGGGAAAAGTACGCATGAAGTAATTGCAATCTGCATCTTAAGGGTTGTCGCGGACCAAAGCGACATAGCTCCAGCATCCGGCCAAAACCGGACCCAAAACTTGTTGGATTTCTGAAGCCAGTGAGCCTCGCAAAAATCCCGTTTTTGCAAGACTCACTGAGCCTCACTCAAGGACAAGAAGTGGTCATCACTTGCTCAATTTTCCTTAACCCTTGGACACCTGAGGGTTCTTTCCCATAGCAGGATGGAGTTGGATTATTTTTGTATCCTCCCACATTTTCAAAATTTTGAAGGCAAGGAAAACCCTTCCAGGTGGGCTGAGGCTAAGTCAGGATAAATCCAAAAAAGCCAGTAGACTAACTGAGCATTTGTTTAATTTTCCCGCAAAAATTTTCTGTCTTTCACTTCTTCAATTTTCCTTTATTAGCCAATCCTGAGCCAGGAAGAAATCACCTGATTTCTTCCTGACCCAGTCCAAGCACCTGGGTATAAAAACCCTCATTCCTCTTTGAGTGGAGAAGTCAAGAAGTCAGAACCTAGTGTTAAAGGGCCTTTAACCTAAATTAAATTACCTCATTCATTATTCTGAGCTAACCAACCAATTTAACCATTGACTCTGCCATTATATTGAATTAACAGCCAATTGATGAACTGGGCAATGAGAATGAAACTCCTCTGAAGAAGAGTTTGAGTTCTTATTCAAAATTTGCATTCTGATGGCTGCACAATTCAATTCCTTTGTCTGGGATCCAATGTACCCATGACAAACCAGCCAATTGATGAACTGGGCAACGAGAATGAACTCCTCTGAAAAAGAGTTTGAGTTCTTATTCAAAACTTGCATTCTGATGGCTGCACAATTCAATTCCTTTGTCTGGGATCCAATGGACCCATGACAAGGCTGTCACTCCCTTTTCATAGTTATTGAGGTCCTCCATGATGAAAAAATCTACGCATTTGTGTTTCTCATTTTGAAACTCGTCGACGCAATATACTAATTTTTTAACTCAAATTGACAGGTTTCAGCCAAAAAATTAATGAGGCAAACAAAATAAATTACATTACCTCACGAGGGCCCCTTCTGTTGTTGTGATGAGTGACTCCAGGCAGAATCCTCATGTCATCAGGAGGAAGAAACTGCCGCTGCTTTGTGGATGCCCTAAGGAATGACTGTCGACTATAACTGGAAGACTGTCTGCTGTAGGTATTTTTCACGTCTTCTGTGCTGACCACACCGACCGGAGGCCAATTGGGCTTGGCTCGGAGTTCTGCTTCTATTTTTTCACATTGTTTGAATTTGAACCTGCGTCTCAATTTCGGCCACAGGAATCGACCGAACAGTTTTTGGACCACCACGACCTGTTCATGTGCCGGGGAGCAAAAATCAAATCGAGGAACTCAGCATTCGTGAAATTGAATCAGCCCGGGGGAAATTTTGAAAAAAGGACGTTTAATCTGAACATTTCTATCTAAAAACATTCAAAAAAACGCAGAAGGATTTGAAATCAAATTAAATAGAATCTCGTTATACAACGAAGTGTTCGCCACCTTAAAAAAGAGCTTCATTGTATGAACAAAAATTCGCCAAAACGAAATCGAAATAACATTATTGTCGCTATCGCTTGTCAGGGACCGAAAAATCAAATTTCTGGCCCACATTAATTCGTTATAACGAAATGCTTCTGTTCATGGAAACGTGGCATTTTCATCCACGAAGTGTATTCAGAATAATTTGGCAAATGACCTTGATTTGAATAACTGCTGAGTAACACGTTTATTTATTGAGAAGTTCAAGTGCAGAAAGGCGGTACTTATCAATTTATGCGTCATTCATCTTTCAAATTAACACAATGCAAATGAAGCGGAAGGTGAAGAAATTATGTTTTGAAGCAATAAAGAAAACTGCTGATTTGATTAATTTAACAGTTTGAAGATGCTGAAAGCTTAAAAGTTCAAACTAAAACTTTTCATTGCTTGAACGCATTCTGAATAAATCATTGAATCACTAATGGAGTAGAAAGTTTGACGTTAATTTTCAAAAACTTGGAAAAGAAGTATGATTTCATCACATATAATAAGTGAGTTCATTATATAGGCAAAAAGTTCAACGAGGAAATTCAAATTTGTTTCAAAGACAAATTGCTGATTTGCTGCATATGTTAGGCAAGTGCGCCAATCCACTATATACTGCTATAAATTCTGTGAATTAGCTAGAGGTTCATCCTCTCCCTTTAAAACCCAAGGTAAAACCTAATGAAGGGTAATTATTGCATGTTGAGTGAGTCAAGCAATAAGAAAAGATCATCATAAGTAGGATTAGCCCAGTTCAATCTTATTGCAGTTGAAGCAAGAGTTTGCTGAGTAACTGCTATAACTTGTGTGAAAAACACCTCAACCTTTACACCAGGAATTCTATAAAGGAATTCCAGCCCTGTCCTGGATGGCTAATTAACATGTTTTATTCACATCACTGTACCACTTTGATCCAGCTTGGACACACTTATATTGAGACAACATCTGTCCCCAATAACATAATTTCTGCCTGGGATTGATTTCTTGCTCAAAGTTAGAAAAATGATTTCCACGTGCTCATTTTTCTGCTTGAATATTGTTTTTTTTTTTTAGAAATGACACACAGGAACTGTATCCAATACTCACCTCACACAAGAAACTGACACAAATATTAATAGTGCCCATCAGCAGCAAAACAATGTTGAATTCCACATGAGGACTCTGAATCAAATGCAGCCAATCTCCAACCAGATTTGGTGGTAGAACAGTGAACCACGCTGTCAGCAAAATGTTTCCAACAACCCACAATGAAAAGTATTCTGCGCGAAAAAATGAAATAAATTACATAAAACTCTTTGCATTTTTTAAAGAAAAGGCCTCGTCTCACTGTTGGAAAGCACGGTTTTTCTGAATGGAATCCCGTGAGAAAAAGTAACTGCGGCTGCAATGCAGGACCACGAAGCAGTGTAGAAAATTGTCGTCGATTCTGCACTGGGTTTTTGTGAAAATGGAGCTCCAACGTACGGGATAAACCTGAAAAAATATAAAACAAATGATCGAAAATTTGGCACTGACTGGGTGAGACAAGACGCGAGCTAATCCTAAAAAAAATCGTGGCTATAAAAATGGAAGATTTTCAACCTCATACAGAATTCAAATTGAAGTTTTAACCTTTTTTGATATTCAAAAATATCCGGTCAGTCTATAACTGCGGTATTTATAAGGTTATTTTTTCTGCAATCATTTTTTTTAGCATTTTTGAGGTAAACACACAAGACATTTTCTTTTTTGGCATTTGGGAATAAAGCCAGCAGCCTCTCAGAAAATACTATTGCTGGAGAAAATGGTCCTGCATTTCTTCTTCAGTATCAGAAAACATACATCGCTACTCTGAAGAAAACTTTTTATGCACAATGCATCACTCACAAGTAGCATAAATGCTCCGGCACTTATTGTAATACTGTATACTTCCCTTTTTTGAGACCAATGTTGCATTGATTTTTCCCTCATAAATTCAAAACTGCCCACAGTTAAGATGCGATTTCTGATGGTAGAACTTTAATATTGCCCATTTGTCAGTATGAAAAAATACTCTTTTCAGATCCAAAATATATTCACTATACCGTTTTTGAATATTTGAAGAGGGGTCACCTTATTTCAACTGGTCAAAAATTATTGAGTCAGGAATCTCTGGAATCAATTCCTGATTTTTCAAATATTGAAAATTGAGGACTTTTTGAGCAGAGAAGAATGAATACTCACCATGGCTGCTTTATGCAGTATTTCCAAGCAGCAATGTAGGCAAGAGCTTGCCATCCAAGGAATGATATCAATGATAGCAGTGCCACTGGATGCATTAGACTTTGTGGTGGTCGCCAAGACACCACAAATTCAGCTGGTTCCACCAGTGCAAAAGTGAGAATTGGGACACTTGACAAGACGAAGTCCAAGAAAACGTATTGTGAAACTGATGGTTCATGCCTGTACAAAAAAACATGGAAATGGATGTATTCACATGTTTATAGACGTAAAAAAAGTTCATGCAAAATTCAGAGGAACTTGTCCAAGACAAATTTGAAAGACGATTTGACTCAGGAGAAAGGTTTTTTTGTTTGGAAATACAGATTGATTTGTGCACATTCATCAATTAAAAATATTTGCATGCGCAATTATTATAATATAAGGGTTGGCTCATAAGTGCTGAGACTTTTGGAAGTGCATCCAACAGAGTTCAGAACAATGTAAATTTATTTACTTGCATAGCCTCATCATTTGGCAACACTTCACTGCTGTATAAAACACATACTCTCTGCCGGTTCCAATGCCTTTTTTCATGCAATGAATCCAATAATCGAACCAGTATCAAAAATCCAGTTCCAAGCACCCTGTGACTTCTGGCTTTTCCCAAAAAAGTTAAGAATGGCACAAAATGGATTTATTTTAAGGACAGGATCCCTCAAAATCAATTGAGGATTTCAAAATCTGTTTTATAGAGAGCAATAAATAAAAATTTTCATATTATCTGGACTTCTGTGCATTGTACAATTCAGACCCAATTTAATAGCAAAAATAAAAATGAACCTCAGACCAAGAAAGGTTATATCCATGAAAGCCAAGATTTCTTGTTGTAGAGGATGAAGAACATAAATTTTGAGGTGATTGGCCATCAATTCACTAGAAATTTGAAAATCAGAGTTGGTTTTGATTTAGTAAGGTTTCATGAAGATTACAATCACACACACAATCAGAAAATACAATCTTGCAATAGACTTTGTGGTGGTCGCCAAGACACCACAAATTCAGCTGGTTCCACCAGTGCAAAAGTGAGAATTGGGACACTTGACAAGACGAAGTCCAAGAAAACGTATTGTGAAACTGATGGTTCATGCCTGCACAAAAAAAACATCGAAATGGATGTATTTACATGTTTAGAAGTAAAAAAAGTTCCTGCAAAATTCAGAGGAACCTGTCCGAACCAAATATGAAAGACGATTTGACTCGGGAGAAAGGTTTTTTTTGTTTGGAAATGCAGATTGATTTGAGCACATTCATCAATTAAAAATATTGGCATGCACAACTATTATAATACAAGGGTTGGCTCAGAAGTTCTGAGACTTTTGGAAGTGCATCCAACAGAGTTCAGAACAATGTAAATTTATTTACTTGCATAGCCTCATCATTTGGCAACACTTTACTGCTGTATAAAACACATACTCTCTGCCGGTTCCAATGCCTTTTTTCATGCAATGAATCCAATAATCGAAACAGTATCAAAAATCCAGTTCCAAGCACCCTGTGACTTCTGTGGGGTCGCGTCCACGCGGCAGCCCAAGCGTAGCATCCTCGCTCGGGTACACCACGCAGCAACACCAGCACGCAAAACCCGGAAGCGGATAGGGCACCCGGTTTACCGCATTGCGGTAAACCGGGTCAAGAACAAAAAGATAGCAATCTCCGGCAGCAGAAGCCGGCACCAAAGTATTCGGGACTTTGGGGAATATCATTACGACAAGAGATTCACTCCTGAGAGCTTGTGTGTGTACCTGACTGTGGTTAAGCCTAGTTCCGTCCGAGCGCGATTGTCTGTACCTCTGGGTACTTCTTATCCTTCCGTGGTTTGTGTGTGTCTGGATAAAACTGCTGAATTCTAAAGGGACTCTGCTAAAGAGGATCCGGCCGTTAAAGGCTGATCGACTGTGTTTGTTCCTTTCTCTAAATTATTTGTCATCAATCGGCCTGACAACTTCTGGCTTTTCCCAAAAAAGTTGAGAATGGCACAAAATGGATTTATTTTAAGGACAGGATCTCTCAAAATCAATTGAGGATTTCAAAATCCGTTTTATAGAGAGCAATGAATAAAAATTTTCATATTATCTGGACTTTTGTGCATTCTACAACTCAGACCCAGTTTAATAGCAAAAATAAAATTGAACCTCAGACCAATAAGAAGGGTTATATCCATGAAAGCCAAGAATTCTTGTTGTAGAGGATAAAGAACATAAATTTTGAGGTGATTGGCCATCAATTCACTAGAAATTTGAAAATCAGAGTTGGTTTTGATTTAGTAAGGTTTCATGAAGATTACAATCACACACACAATCAGAAAATACAATCTTGCATTGTGCAATAAAAACTCACTGTCAAAAAGAAATAAAATAAAAAAAAAGATGCTCTGCCTAATGCGCAATTATGGCACATTCCAAAGCAAATAACTCCATGAATTTTTTTACTTACAAAATGTCGCAACATTTTAAATTGAAGCTGAAGGTGTTATTCAACTTTTGTTTGATCATATACAAATTGACGTGATCGATAGATCTTGAGATATTCTCACTCTTCTAAACCTAACTTTTCTTTGGTGATGAGAATATAGAAAACCTTCATGACAGATTCTTATCTCACTGAAGCACAAGCTTTTGGTAACAGTGATTTCAAAAGCTTTGTTTCTGAATGTACATGAATGAATTTATTTTTGCAACATAAATTAGATTGGGAGAAAACCTGATGGGGCCATTGTACTATGGAGAAAATCTTTGTGGACAAGATTTTTTCAGATGGACAAAACAAAATTCAAGGGATCAGAAGAAAATCCTTGTGAAAATAATTTTTTTGTAAAAAAAAGTCCTTTCTCTCTGCATGCTCCTGTGGTCCAAAAAAAAAAATTCGATAGTCATGCAATCTTGTCTTTGAAAAATACCCAGAAGAAATTTGTTCTCTCCATCACCTGAATATACAATAATAATTGCAGCAAAATATGATATGCAGAGTTTTTTCCTGCTTTATTTGTTATTACGGCTGTTTATGCACTCATCAGTTACCTCGAAGTGAAGACCATCACGATGAAGCACATGTAAGTGTAGCATTGGGCCACTGTAAACGTCGTGGCGCCCAAATAGGAACACAGCGTGGAGCGTCCTTCGCGGACAATGTCCACGGCGGCGAACAGGTTCCGATCGTCGTCCGCCGTGAACGGCGCCGCGATGGACGCCTCTTTCTCCGCCGAGGACGCCACTGAGAGGCCGACGTCTGCTGCTCGCAGGGCACCCAAGTCGTTGCAACCGTCTCCACACATGCCGACGATTCTCCTGAGCAAGGATAAATCAACATACAGTAGGAATAAATGCAGTATAAAATGTCGCTGAAAAGCTAATTGTTTTTCATTTTAACGAATTGTTTCGTGTTCCCAGAAGTTTCTCCTTGGAAACATTTTTAAAAATAGATTTCCTATTTATAAACATTTTTGAGCAGGAATCTCACCATAAGAAATTTTCACCTTTTCCCTTTGTCAATTATGAATTTATGAATATGGCATGAAGATTATTTTTTATGCAGAAATTAAAGGAAAAAACTGAAATTTGCATAATAAATAACAAGTTTAAAAAAATACTATTTGCAAATTAAGAAGATTTAGTACAATGTGGAAAAAAACACATCATGTTTTCCTTAGAATTCATTCAGGCTCATTTGAGAATTTGGTAATGGCTCTTTTTTAATGAACAGCAGTACAGTACAGTATGCCAAGAAGAATGTGACTCTAATTCAATTAACAAAAAAGCTTACTTTCATAAATGAGTGTGGAAGGAGGTACTATAGCTGTATTTCCTTTAGCTGATTTTTGTTTAATTTAATTTTTGAGCACAGCAGCAAACTGCGGCAGTGTTAAAAGATTTAAAGTAAGGCATGTTCCAAAAAAATTTATTTGATCTTCAATGTATACTTTGCAAGTTTCTCCCACTTCCCATAAATTTGTGCACATAAATTCTTTTACATTATATGAATCTTGATAAAGCTGGTACCTTGCAATTTGACCCTAATTCATTGCTGGACTAGGGTTGAATTGTAAAGCAGTCAAATTGCAAGACATGTCATAAAATTAGGAAGAGCACAAAATTGAAAAAAAAAATTGGGGAAAGCAGGTTGAATCCTGGGGCAGAGATGGAATTGCAAGTCAACCTCCCTGCAATTTTGAACATCAAATTGCAGGCCTGTCAAATTGTGGGAGGTCAAATTGCAAGTTACCACCTGTACATAGAATGAATTTTCATCATAACGGATTTTATTTGAACTCCATGCAACTGCATTATGTAAATTTTTTTTACTGTAATCCTTCAATGATTATGAAAAGTGTTTTTGGGGAGAAATGTTTATTTTTACTGGATACATAAAAAAATACTGTGCCGTTGAAAACAATTCCTTAAAATTTCTGGAGTTAAAGGTGCATTTTTTGTGGACTCAATACCGATGCTCTTTATATATTTCAGAACGTCTGAGTGACGTTTTTTCTTTTTAAAAACAAACTGACAAATGCGATTCGAAGTTTTTTCTTGGCCAAGAATTAAATGTAGGCGTCAGGATGCTGAACTTGTAAAAAAACAACATGTTCAAAAGTCTTGAAATTTATCTTTCCAGATCTGGAACTCATATTAAATGGGTTTTATTGCATTCATAGCAAACAATTTTTGGATAAAAATCACAGCTCACCCAATTTTGTGCAAAGTTTTCACCAGGGTTTCTTTTTGATGCGGCAACATTCTGGCGAAAACCCGCCCTCTATGCACAACCTTGAGAAACAATTCAGGCTCCCGTTTTTGCAACAAGTCGAAGCATCGTCCTTCCAAAGCGAAAACATACTCTCGGACCGGAACACTTCCGGTGTCCTGTTGTGCAAACCAGAAATGGAAAGAAAATATTAATAAAAAAAGAAACAATAACCTCGTGCAATCGATCAAAGCCTCATTAAATATTTGGCAACTATAAACATAACTTTGCGCACACGATCTGCGACGCGAGTCAAAGTTCTTTCACTAAGTTTGTCATTGATTTCCGAACAACTTCATGTCTGCAGGATGTTGCAACTTTGCACGTGACCTTGAGCAGTTTTATTTGCGCAATTTTCTTGGAAATACAAAATGAATATATCTTATTTGAGCCAATACCACGAGCCCTTCCTCGATATCTGAGACAAAACTTTTGAAAAAAATCTGTAAGATGCGCAATGCGATTCCCTGTGCTACAAAAAATGCAGTTAAATTCTCAAATTTTGTATTTAGGTGCATAAAATTAATGAATTTACCTGTATTTTGGCAGGTAGGTGTTTTTAAATTTCCATATTCCAGTTTGTTTTGAGCTTCAAGATGCCTTTTTATCCATTATTGTCTCCAAAAATTATTTCTTTAAACATTACTGACTGTTTGAATAGTGAGATGAATGTTGCGTACGGAAGCAATGCAGCTCCAGCATCCAGCTGCCACCAGACAAGAAAACTTGTTGCATTTCTGAGGCCAGTGAGCCTTGCAATAATCCTGTTTTTGCAAGACTCACTGAGCCTCACTCAAGGACAATTAAGTGGTCATCACTTCTTTGATTTTCCTGAAATTGGCCAATCCTGAGCCATGCAGGAAGAAATCACCTGATTTCTTCCTGACCCAGTCCAAGCATCTGGCTATAAAAGCCTTAATTCTTCTTTGAGAGGAGAAGTCAGAACCTAGTGTTAAAGGGCCTTTTAACTTTAAATTACCTCATTCAATATTCTGAGCTAACCATCATTGACTCTGCCATTACAACCATTGAATTAACAGCCACTTCATGCAGCATTTCAAAGAGATAGACATCAGCTTACAAAAGATTTAAAATTACTGAAATTCAATGAAGAGACACTTTCAGAACTCTTAAAGGATCAAGAAAATTTTTTGGCCTTACATGATTTCTCATCAAAGATTCTCTCTAAATTGTTCATTGAACTAAAACTCATACAGAAACAGGAGCGATGGACGCCTCTTTCTCCGCCGAGGACGCCACTGAGAGGCCGACGTCTGCTGCTCGCAGGGCACCCAAGTCGTTGCAACCGTCTCCACACATGCCGACGATTCTCCTGAGCAAGGATAAATCAAGATACAGTAGGAATAAATGCAGTATGAAATGTCGCTGAAAAGCTAATTGTTTTTCATTTTAACGAATTGTTTCGTGTTCCCAGAAGTTTCTCCTTGGAAACATTTTTTAAAAATAGATTTCCTATTTATAAACATTTTTGAGCAGGAATCTCACCATAAGAAATTTTCACCTTTTCCCTGTGTCAATTATGAATATGCCATGAAGATAATTTTTTTCTTCGGAAATTATAGGAAAACACTGAAATTTGCATCATAAATAACAATTAAAAAAAGCAAAGCTATTTGCAAATTAAGAAGATTTAGAAGAGTATTGAAAAAAAACATCATGTTTTCCTTGGAATTCATTCAGGCTGATTTGAGAATTTTTCAATGGCTCTTTTTTAATGAACAGTACAGTACTGTAGTATACCAAGAAGAATGTTAGCCTAATTCAAAGAACAAAAAAGCTTACTCAATACATCACTTTGGAAGGAGGTATTGTACTTCCTTTACCTGGTTTTTTTTAGAAAATCAGAAAATTGAGGCAGTGATGGTAGAAAATAGGAAGTAAGGCAGGTTCAAAAAAAATTTATTTGATCTTCAATGTATACTTTGCAGAAGACATCTTCAATGTGTATACTTTGCAAAAGACCATTACAATGTTTTTTCCCTCTCCCCATGAAATTTTGCACATAAATTCTTTCAAATTATATGAATCTTGATAAAGCTGGTACATTGCAATTTGACCCTAATCCATTGCTGGACTAGGGTTGAATTGTAAAGCAGTCAAATTGCAAGACATGTCATAAAATTAAGAAATATGAGCACAAAAATGCAAAAAAAGGTGGCCAAAGCAGGTTGAATCCTGGGGCAAAGATGGAATTGCAAGTCAACCTCCCTGTAATTTTTAACATCAAATTGCAGACCTGTCAAATTGTGGGAGGTCAAATTGCAAGTTACCACCTGTACATAGAATGAATTTTCATCATAACGGATTTTATTTGAACTCCATGCAACTGCATTATGTAAGTTTTTTTACTGTAATCCGCCAATGATTATGAAAAGTGTTTTTGGGGAGAAACGTTTATTTTTACTGGATACATAAAAAAATACTGTGCCGTTGAAAACAATTCCTTCAAATTTCTGGAGTTAAAGGTGCATTTTTTGTGGACTCAATACCGATGCTCTTTATATATTTCAGACGTTTTTTCTTTTTGAAAACAAACTGACAAATGCGATTCGAAGTTTTTTCTTGGCCAAGAATTAAATGTAGGCGTCAGGATGCTGAACTTGTAAAAAAACAACATGTTCAATAGTCTTGAAATTTATCTTTCCAGATCTGGAACTCATATTAAATGGGTTTTATATTGCATTCATAGCAAAAAAATTTTGGATCAAAATCACAGCTCACCCGATTTTGTGCAACGTTTTCACAAGGGTTTCTTTTTGATGCGGCAACATTCTGGCGAAAACACGCCCCCTGTGCACAACCTTGAGAAACAATTCGGGCTCCCGTTTTTGCAACAAGTCGAAGCATCGTCCTTCCAAAGCGAACACATACTCTCGGACCGGAACACTTCCGGTGTCCTGTTTATTGTGCAAACCAGAAATGGAAAGAAAGTATTAATAAAAAAATAAACAATAACCTCGTGCAATCGATCAAATCCTCATTAAATATTTGGCAACTATGAACATAACTTTGCGCACACGATCTGCGACGCGGGTCGAAGTTCTTTCAATAAGTTCGTCATATTGATTTCCGAAGAAAGTTCATGTCTGCAGGATGTTTCACCTTTGCACGTGACCTTGAGCCGTTTTATTTGTGCAATTTTCTTGGAAATACAATATGTATATATCTTATTTGAGCCAATACCACGAGCCCTTCCTTGATTTCTGAGACAAAACTTTTGAAAAAAAATCTGTAAGATGCGCAATGCGATTTTCTGTGCTACAAAAATTCATTTAGATGCTCAAATTTTGTATTTAGATTTATAAAATATATGAATTTACCTGTATTTTGGCAGGTAGGTGTTTTTTAATTTTCATATTCCAGTTTGTTTTGAGCTTCAAGATGCATTTTTATCATCCATTCTTGAACCAAAAAATTATTTCTTTAAACATTACTGACTGTGTTTGAATAAGTGGGATGAATGTCGCGTGGAAGCAAAGCAGCTCCAGCATCCCCCTGCAACCAGACAAGAAAACTTGTTGCATTTCTGAGGCCTGTGAGCCTTGCAAAAATCCTGCTTTTGCAAGACTCACTGAGCCTCACTCAAGGACAAGAAGTGGTCATCACTTCTTTGATTTTCCTAAAATCGGGCAATCCTGAGCCATGCAGGACAAAATCACCTGATTTCTTCCTGACCTAATCCAAGCACCTGGCTATAAAAGCCTTAATTCTTCTTTGAGAGGAGAAGTCAGAACCTAGTGTTAAAGGGCCTTTTAACTTTAAATTACCTCATTCAATATTCTGAGCTAACCATTGACTCTGCCATTACAACCATTGAATTAACAGCAAATTGATGAACTGGGCAATGAGAATGAACTCCTCTGAATAAGAGTTTGCATTCTTATTCAAAACTTGCATTCTGATGGCTGCAAAATTCAGTTCCTTTGTCTGGGATCCAATGGACCCATGACAATGAACACCAAATGTATTTTGAAAAAATTGCAGAAAACACTTTTACTGAAGTATGACACAAATCACACTCTAATATGAGCTCAATTTTCCATGAAAAGGTGCAAGTGGGACTTGAGGGGAAAAACGTTGAAATCGTGAATGAAGATATTTGCATCAAGTCTTCATGTTAATCGAATTTATGCATATATGGGAAGCTGTGATCAAGTTCTCCAAATCATAGCAACAACTTAAATTCCCTCGAAAGAAAATCCCAAAGACAGAGAAATGACAATTTTTTTAAGAAGACAAAAAATGTACATTCAGTGAGCGTCAAGAAACAAATTGCATTAGTAAAATTACTCAAGACCACGCTGTCCGGGACCAAAGCGATGCAGCTCCAGCATCTGGCTGAAACCAGACCCCAAAACTTGTAGGATTTCCAAGGCCTGTGAGCCTTGCAAAAATCCTGTTTATGCAAAACTCACTGAGCCTCACTCAAGGACAAGAAGTGGTTTTCACTTCTTTTATTTTGCCTGAATTGGCCAATCCTGAGCCAGGAAGAAATCACCTGATTTTGTCCTAACCCAGTCCAAGCACCTGGGTATAAAAACCCTCATTCCTCTTTGAGAGGAGAAGTCAAGAAGTCAGAACCTAGTGTTAACCAAAATTAAATTAATCAATCTTTATTCTGAGCTAACCATTGACTCTGCCATTATATTGAATTAACAACCAATTGATGAACTGGGCAATTTGAATGAACTACAGTATACTCTGAAGAAGAGTTTGAGTTCTTATTCTACGCTTGCATTCTGATGGCTGCACAATTCAATTCCTTTGTCTGGGATCCAACAGACCACACACGCAAGGAAGCTGAAGCATTCAACCGATATTGAATTTATCTATTTATTCAAGAATGTGAATTTGGAGATTTTTTAAAAACATTTAATTTACCGTACCACAGAATCAGCATCTGGATCCATGTACTCAATTTTCACGTGTTGAACTGCGTCCAAAGTTGACTCCACGAGCTCAGCCCAAACAACCAGCATTTTCACTTCCGGATCTACCAACTGACATTTCCTTGCCACACTCAAAGCCGTCAGCAAACTGTCTCCTGTCAATAAAATGACGTTTTGCATCAATTTTCTGCTTCTTATGTTGCATCTGTTGGTGGATTTTCCCAAACACGGGGTTAAGCAAAATTTTTACAGATGAAATAATGGAACAATTTCAAACCCCCATTACAATTTTGCTGACCCATCATCCAAGGCTGAAACTGAGAGAAGTCAAACAAGTGTTTTGTTGTAGAATTAAATGCATTCATGCATTAGGAAACTACAGTAATTTATGATGTCACTGCCTACACCAGAAGCTTGTGCACCAGTGAGATAAGAAATTTTGATGCAGGTTTTCTAGATTCTTATCACCTGTTGGGAAATCACAGGTCTGTACCAAAAGACCTTGTTAATAATCAAGGATCACATGGGATAAATTTTTAAAACCTTGTGAAAAATGTTGTTACTGGCTGCTAATGTGTTTTGTTTTCAACGCACTTTATGGGAAATTGCCAAGGTTTGGGATTATATTTCTGAAAGATGCATGCCAATGTAGATTGGCAAACTGAAAGATAAATGGCAAAACCATCTGGTGGCGGTTAAGACATCAAAAGGATGGTTCCTCAGAAATCTGCAGGGTGGTTTTATGAGGGACAGAATTACCTCAAAACATGGGAATTCAATGACTCATTACAACTTAATACTCTTGCCAAAAAATGACAGGAGGCCTTTGATGAATTTGACTAAAATGAATCAAAATGTTGTTCTCATGGAATTTTCATCAGCTGTCCCTGAAAATCTGTTTTTGGGCTGAAAAGATAATTCAACATATGTTCAGATCAAATTAAAAGAACAAATAAGTCCTCATAACTCAAAACTAGTTACAAATAAAACCACCCAACATATTTGAAGCAACTCATTTCACCCCTTATGAAGGTGAACTACTTTCTTGTGAGGAATTTTTTATGGACGAAATATTTTTCAAAAATTAAGCAGTAATCGGCGCGTCTCGGGATGCGCCTGCAGCTGCAAACCATCCCCTTGACAAAAACAACAATAAAATGAACCCATCTCTGGGTAAATAATTCTTGCTGAAGAGTCAAACAACCCCTAAAAATCCCAAGATCAGTCCCACCAGCAGCTGGTCGCTGCATGTACTTGTCAAAACCTGATATGCTGAACCATTTGTCGCGCTTTGTCAAAACATTTTTACTGTAAAAGAACATGTTCCCTGACCCTAAAAACAATTTGTCACCGTCTTCCAAAACATGCACAGCCTTGTAAAACCCCGCCAATTTGAAAAACACCCAGTTTTTCGGGAAAATATCCTTCTTCAAACTTCCCAATTTTTTGTCCCAAAAATTACCAGCAGCTGGTGTTTTTCTGTACCCAACACCCAGCTGCTGGGATTCCCTGCAGGTACCATGTGCCCCTGCCCCCCTTTCTTGCTTAAAAACCCCTGATTTTTTGGCCCAAGACACAGTCTGAATTTCGCGTGTGAGGCGTTACGTCATGTTCTCGAAATTCGTATTTGCTGAAAAATTTACAAGTCTGCGAAAACTGTTGTGCATATTTTCCTGTCAAAACTGTTGTGCATATTTATCTTGTAAAACTTACCTGTCAATTTGAACAAAGGCTTGCGCTGTTTGGGAGAGAATCCCTGGTCCATTCGCGCACCGGCCAATTGTTGTGTTGAATTCATTTATCCTGTTTCTGAAAATTCTCATCTAGATCTTGTCTGACAACTATTATTCTAAACCTTTCTTCACAAATCAAATCAAGCCACATTAAACTTAAACAAGGTGTACGGCTTCAAATATTACTTCTTGATAAAAACCATACATTTCTGAAACAATGAAATCAGGAACACTTTTCTCTTCCTTCCTTTGCCCAGCAAAGAACAAAGCATTTTCGATTCATTATTGGTGACAGGTGTGCCAGCTGTTGCTCAAAGAGTTTGGCTGAGTTGGATTTTTTTATTGAATTCTTCTTTGCCTTAATTATTGTCAAAAATTCTGGAATTAAACTATGGAGCTTACAGGAATACAATACAACCAGTTTAATGCAGGAATCCAATCAGTATTTCCGGCCTTGTCCCAGGCTGATCAACTGCTTTATTTAGATTGCTGTCTTCTACTTCTTGATCCATTGAACTTTTCTCAACTTTATGCTGTGGTAAGTTATTCTGCAACATCACCAAAGAAAAAGCTAGGTCTGCAAAAGTCATGATAGTACAAGAAAATTTTTAATTTTTTCAAGATCAGTCAGATAATTTTTTAAATAGCACCAAACAGTTGAGAAAAATCTGTCCTTTTACTCAAACCCTTTTGAATTTTCTTGGTAAAAGATTGGTGGAGTTATGGCTTTGGTAGTTTGCCAATAAGTTTCAAGTTGTGCCATGTACCAAACATTTTTGTTTGGTGATTAAATTTTACTTATTTTGGATGCAGGTTTTCATTCAACCATGTGAGATTTAATTTGCTCATTGTGTGATTGTTTCTTTCATTAAAACTGCAATGAGTTAATAATATTTAACTTGTTGGAAAGAAATTAGTAATAGTCTAAAATACTGTGGGATTATGTCGGCGCCAGGAAAATGGTGATGCTTTTAGAGGGTCGGAAACTGGTGGGACTTTGCTTGACCTCAAGGTCCCATGAGATTTGGGATTCTTGGAGAAATCCTTCTGAAAGGATAAAGCTCAGGGACAAAATTGCAATAGAAAGAAAACTGTTTAAATAGTGGAATATTTCCACATATCATCATCAGTTGCTTCTGTGTTGTCTCATGCGAAAGACTGTCCATTGAAATTGCTGCTTGACTTTGACTCTGCCAAAACCTCAAAAAATACATCAACCTTACACTAGGGTGTAAAGCACCCTGGCCGCAGCCCGGCTGATTGTGTTTGAACCATTTCGAATATCTCAAAGAAATCTGGAAAAATCATCAAATTCTCAACTAGCTTCAAATTACTATCTCTAACATAACCAACAACAACCAAGGAGAGAGGATTCTTGTCCAGGTTTCTTTATTCTTCAAGCCAGCAGAAATGTAGATTGTGTACTTCAGAATCTGCATTCTCAATTGAGAAAAAATGATGAGGAAAAATTATGTTTTCCAATTTTTGAATGCTTTTACACAAATTCATGTGTAAAAACCTTGAAAATGTCTTTCCAAAACAGTCCTATTTTGCAAGCTCATTATCAGGGGATTCTTCCATCAATTTTGGTAGAGTACAGTATCACAATATACAGTAACATTTATGCTTGTTTTTTTTTTACCTTTGTACTTCCTTTGTGTCAAAATAAGGGCAGATTATTGGTGATTCTCTTCAGCACGGTTATGTTCTGCGTCTTGAAGTTCAGAAATTTTTTTTCATTGGATTTCTTCAAAAATTTTCCCCATTTGTTTTTCCAAACGATTGAAAGTGGACCCATATTATAGACAGTCTTTCTATGGCAAAATGCAATCCAAAATGCGGAAATGCCAACAAATGGACACAGTCAGAGAAGTTCTGCAATCAAGTCCGCATCTCAAAGCCCGTTATGATATTGTTTGGGAATGCATTGTAAATGGCAGAAACATTCTGAAAAAATATACAACCAAATTCAATTAATTCACCCGTGACCATGACGTTGTCAATTCCAGCTGCCCTCATAGTCTCCAGCACAGGGTTGGCTTGTTCTTTGAGAATGTTCTCAAACAAAAGGATCCCCGACAAATCGCAAGTCGCGAGACAAACTGTGAACCTTTGCTGGTGAAATGTCTCTCAAGCTCTTTGATGCCATGGCAAGAGCTCTGTATCCTTGATGCTCGTACCAGGCCAGATGACCAGGCAATTCATCCGGAACTGAAGAATAATATCAATTTATGTTTTCAATTATTTCGGCTTTTTATATCGAAATACCTTGATACCCCCGACATGCATGGTAGTTTCGACTTGCGGACACTTGAAACTGTTAAAAATCCGCCCCGAAATCTGGAGAATATGTATATCTCGACATAAGGACATTTTTACACAGAGTTCTCAAAAATAAATAAATAAAATTTATTTTACGAAATTGTGATTTCGCTCGAACTAAGTGAGCTATTATATATATTCACAAAAACTATGAATAAACTTAACTAAAAATTTACTCCAATTCATGATCAAAAACGGGTTAATTTCAAGCTTATTTTATCGAATATTCTCCCATCATTGGTGTCCAGAATATTTGGACTTATTTTTGCTTTGCTCCCTGACTTAATTTTGATGCCAAAAGAGCAGATTACATTTTAGAAACACATGGACCTAATTTAAATTTTACAGCATGGTGAGACCCTGAAATGCACATGTCACAATTTGTGGACAATTCGCCTCAGGGACACATGAAACTTTAGACTATCTGATCAAACATGTGGACAATGACTTGAGACATTTTGCCAAGACTTCCGAAAAAAACTGAATTTAACACTTTTTTATCATTTGAAAAATTGAATTATTTGCAGTATACAGTATATTTACAAAAATTTAAAATACTTTTCATTAAAAATTTTACTCTAAGTAATCATCAGAAGAGGATAATTTTGTGTTTCTTTTTGCAGCATTTTTTCTAGCATCTGTGAACATTACAGCTAAAATAATCTTTTTTTCTTTAATTTGTAAGCTCCTCTTGAAGCCATAAGATCAGATTCAATGTGATTTACTTCTGATTACAGTTATTTTCTGCATCATGAAGTCAAGGAAAAATTTTTTTACTCAATTTTTGGGACTTATTCCTAATTTTTTATGAACAAGTGAACCATTCGAATATGTTTGCATTGAAGTCTATGGGAAAATGTGATCCAACGTGTGATGGATGCTCTGACATATGGACAAGATCCAAGCACCAAATATCTCCGCATCTTGGTGCTATCTGCTATCACACAAGGAACTTCAGGAGACAATGCGTCAAAATATAAATTTGATGCCGGATTTTCATTCCCGACAATCCAGATTATTGGCTGTTGAAACAAAAAAACACGTTGAGCAGCAGAATATTTCCGCATTCCGATTTCCGCCTGATTCAGCCGAACGTCAATATGTACATTCGTGGATATTTCGGGTGCAATCCAATTTTAAAAGAAAGCCTCTTCTCTGTCAAGAAACACACGATATTTGTTCTATAAAATGGCGTCGTGTCAGGTAGGGAATTAAATGCCCCGTTACCTCCCGAAGAGCCTCTCCATCAGAGCTATAATAAAAGAACCTGCGCCTTATTCGGAGGAGAAAATCGAGATCGTAAAGCATTAGCTGAACGAGCAGCGGATTCAGGATTCGCTAATCGCCTAATTCTATCGTATTCTTTGAAAGTTCGCCATGGGTTTTCACAAACACTTCTCCAACATTCAAAATCAATTCGAACATTAACCTGGAAAAAAATCCAAGGAAGCGTGTATACGGCTGATTTCTTCCTTATTTTGATTTGAAGTACATATATTGTCAGACTGGTGAATTTTCAAAGAATAAAGGTTTTATAATTTCTTCCACCTTCGTCACGTGGAATTTGAAAATTACTTGATGAGTATATATTTCTGATATCTCTAATTTTATGAGCAATTCCCCAAAATAAGGGCTGACGCAATTTTTTTTTTACGGAACCTTAAAATATGAAAGGAACTAATTCAATGTCGACCAAAAATGTGCAGCATGGGGATTTTTTTTCGGTATAATTAATATTGATGTAAATATGAATGCCGAAATTTGTTCAAGAGGTATCAAAAGTTAGAAAATTAAAATTCCCAGTGTTTTCCGTAGAAATATTGGAGCAATTGACGTTCTTATCTCGAGACAATGTCCGGATTTTTTCCATGTGTCTTCAAGTCAAATCGTCATCCATATTTGCACAATAATATATAATTATATATTGTAATTATTATAGTGCGGTTCCACTATAATAGAGAATGAGTTGATGCTCAGATTTTGATTTTTCAAAATTAGCCTGTTTTTATTTTGAAATACTGTAATGCAGATTAATCTTATTTTAATAGAACTTTTTCTTTAATTTTTGTGAATATAAATACTTATCTAAATTTGTTCAGGAGGCATCAAAATAAAAATAAAAAGCTTTTCAATTATTTTTCTGCAAATCATGGGGAAAATGTCCTTATATCGAGGTGTTGACCGTATTTTTATTTTTTTTAGTTGCAAGTGTCCCTAAGTCGAATCATCGGTATGCCGTGATACCCCACTATATAATGAATGCACTGAATATTTGACGAATTGATGCCATTTAATTTCCAGCAGCCGCAGCTGCTAAAAAACTTTCTCGTTGGCCATTTTACGACGAAAGAGAGAAAGGTGAGGAGGAAGGAAGGGTCACGCGTGGGTGTGGGATTTTGCAAATGAGCCTCACCTGAGCCCGGGTTGCAGAAATCGAGGACGGTTTGCGCGCTCCCTTTAACAAACAGCTCGCAGTTTCGCATGTAATTGCGTTTCACGATCGCCATGGAACACTGCTGAATCGGATCGAAAGGGAACACTTTGATAATGGCTGAGCTTTGCTCGGGATCCTGCTGGGGATGAGCCAATGCGACTACTTGCACCATTTCTTCATCCTCAAACACCATCTTCCTGCCGGGCTCCAATTCCTTCACATTTGTCAATGAGAAAGCAAAAAAAATCATAATAATAATTCCAAGGTTTAATTGCATGAATAACAGTGAAGCAAAGTCTCAATTAATAGAACAAAGCCCTTGGGTCCCATAGAAAAAATTAATCTGTTACAATACAGCAGCAGTCAAACCTCTCCAAGTCGAATTTCAAGGGACCAGCAGAAATTTGACTTGGGGAGGTTTTGAGGTTTGAGCTACAAAACAAAGCCCTTTTGTTCTGGGAAACTTGGAAAAATTGGCCAAAATTGTAAATAGTGATTTTCTGGTGCTTAAATTTGCTTCTTAACTGATCAAGTTGAAAGGATGCAGAACTTGAAGGCAGGGGTTAATTTGCCCAATTAAGTCTTCCACTTCCTTTCAAACACATCAATTTATGCTTTTATTGCTTTTTTCTTTCTTGGGTCAAGAAATATAATGGCCAACTGGTCACAGAAAATTCTACTTATGGAGGTTTGAGGGGAATTAAAAAGCCTTTGAGAGGTTTTTAATTTATTGGTTCACAGGGAATTCAGATGGGAATAACCTGAAACAAACTTGAAGGGGGGGGGGGATATTTGACTTAGAGAGGTTTGAGTTATCAAAGGTTCACCTGTATTGAAAAGTAAGTCTTATTTTAAAAGTTTTTGACACAAAATTGCAAAAAAATGCTGGTAGGAAGTGAAATTCAGAGAAGAACAAATTCTCACCCAGTTTGAAGCTTTGAACAAACACAGGTCAGTTTCATTGCCCACCAAATCATCATGGACTAATGCCAAAGTGTGACAAGTGGCAGCTCCAACAGCCAGAGCATCTGTGGTTGTCAAAGAGCTCAGGTTTGCTGGTGGCACACATTTCCCATCAACCACAGGCACTGCCCCTGCAAATCCCAGCTCATTGTCTGTCAAAGTACCCGTTTTGTCAAAGCAGAAGACATCAATTGCTCCTGCAGCTGTGATGAAAATGTTAAAAAAATCTTGAAATTGAGTTTAAAATAAATAAAGTATGGTTGGACTTACCAGGAATGTGCATGGTACTGAGGCAATAAATGCCTTTTTTCTTCAGCCGTCTTTGTGCAGTGGCACGAATGGTAGTCAAGATGATTGGCAACACTGGTGGGACAACAAATGTGAGAATGTCCAAGCAAAAAAGCACAATCTTCCGAACAGGGGCCTGTGGATTCATGTGTACAAACATTGATCATCATAAATAATTTTGCAACCAGATTTACACCCATAAAAAAATTAAAGAGATTTCTTTTCAAATATTTGAAAATCTTCAAAACTGTTTTTGAGTGAAATATTTCATGCCTTGGAATGTTGGCAATGCTGGGAGAGGTAGATCACTTCTCAAACCATGTAATTGAATTTATCTTGCTTCTATTTTCTGGAATTTTGCATTAAATTTTTTAAATTATAAATATAAATTTCTCATGAAATAAAACTTTCTGTTGTGGATCAACTAGATGTTGTCCAAGACATGAGCAATGTGCCACAAGCCAACTAGATGTCACTCACAACACATGCCATGTCTTTCAGAATGAAAGGAACAAGAAAGGTACATTATATATTAATCAATCAAATAAACACCTTGCCAAAAAATATTCATGGAGATTAAACCTTCATGAAATATTCCACAAAGATAGAAACAGGACCTGAATCACCCTCATGAAAATAAATTCATCAGACCTGAATTGCCTTTCATCATCAACTCTCAGGAATCTTTCAAACAAAGTTGGACCTGAAGCTGGATCAAGAAGTGAAAGAATTCATTCTCACCCAAACCTTGAAGCTGTGATAATCAAAATCAGGTGTCCCGTGATTATATCTTATAAAAACAGAAGACACCAAATAGTTAGTGAGGTTCAAACCTTCAGGCTGCAAATGGCCAACTGTGCATTAACAATTCTTTCACTAAAATCAATTATTTATCATTGATGTCATAGGGACCCATGACACTTTCCTCAAAGTTTAGTCATGCAGTCAGATATACAGTGGTTCATACATGCAAATTTTTGGCAATGCTTCTGCCTGTTTTGCTAAAATGACAAATCTGGCCTAACTCAGAAACAAAACGCAGCTAATTTTTCATAAATTACTAGCTATGTTTGAAAAATTATTATGCAAATTCTGAGCTTTTTCAACTAAGACTAGCAACATTTGGTCTAATTGTATATGAGTCAATCGAATTTATCCTTTTCATGCGCGATTTATGCTCTAATTTTCCTTTTACCGGATTTTTATTCAGAGCGACATCTATACACAACGCTGCAAAAAATTTCAAACTTGGAGACGCCTATAGAACAACAGGTCAATATAGCCATGATAGCTGACTTATTAATAATTGGCCAGGAAAAATTGTTAGTTCATTTAAATTTGCGTCTCCAGTAATTCAATCCCCTGATCTGAAAAACTTGACTCTTTCTCGCATTTAAACTTTTACTCACACTGTTTGAATAACGAGGAAATCTCATTTTCGCCTTTGGAAATTGTTCAGAACTTTCTAATCCCTCTGTATTATAAACGTGATGAGAGTGAAAGAAACGGTACGTTGAACAAGTTCTCTTTAAAGAGGTGTTTGACTAAGAGGATATTGTGTATATTTATGTCTTTGACACGAAATTATTTAAGAAAATAATTTCCCCACCTTATTCTCAGAGAAGTTTAAAAAAATTAGATAAAACGGTGATTACCCCGTATTGCACCCAAGTGTAGGCCGTGTAGACCATGGCACCGAGCCCGATGAGGAAGAAAAATGGCACAATTTGCAAGTATTTGCGGAAGAAGGCGAAGTCGAGGCCCTCTGAGTACAGCACTGATCGAATCATTTCCCCTTGCAGAGTCATAAAGCCTATAATGGCGGAAAAAAAGACGAAGAAAATGAGCAAAAGCTCTATTTTTTTGCACATTTACTTCTTTTTAGTCTCTGCGAGTTTCGCAGAATTTTTCTTGATTTTTGAATGTTACATTTTTTGGCACTATACTTGAAGAAAATATAGTCATACCTGTGCGAATAACGAGGGCTTTGGCATTTTCGTTGTTCTTTCCCCGAATTTGAATGATTTTGGTCCCGCTCAGAAGAACGTGGTGACGATGAGCTTCGAAATGAAAAATTTCTTCGCCATCTTCAGGAATTGCCACCTATAGAACAGAGTAGATATGGAAGTAAAATAAAGATTTTCAATTCAATATATTTTTTGGTTTTCAAAACTTGGGTGAAAAAATCTTGAAATTCTGGAAAGTTTAATCGTCAGTAGTCCGGATGATCGCAGTTCTCCGAACATTCTACGCAAAAACCGAATGCGCAACAAACATCCGGAAATATTCTGGATAAATGCGAAAAGAGACCTTTTCTAGATTTATGTTTGTTTCCGACCAATGTGAATTTTTAAACTACAGTAGTTGAACCTGGAATTGTTTTCCAATCCTTTTATTAATTTCCTGAGAAACCCAGAGGAACTCAACGTCCATTCAAACTCTTATAACTCAAATTTTGTGAGGTCTTTTGGTTATTATTTTATTGACACAGGAAAGAGAAATGCAATAAAAATTCAACTTGATGTGTTTTGAGATGAAGTGTTATAGAATTAATTAGGCAAATAAACCCTTCCTCCAAGTTCAACAAACCTGGCAACTATAATTCAAGAAGCAATTTAATGCCCAGAATATCACCAATAAAAATGTCCTGCAATTCTTTTTCCTTTTCCCCAACAAAAATACCTATTTTCCCCACTGGAAACCTCAAAAGCTAATTTTTTTCTGGTACCTTTTTTAATACACTTCGACTTAAACTGGTTTGCCAGAATTTTCCATATACAAGAAGTTCCAAATAATATTTCGATTTTTGCGATTTTCCCAGTAAAATTTTTGCTGGTTAATTGGCAATTTTCTGGTCTGATTTTTCAGTGGAAATAATGAGAAGGATTCAGCACCTTAGTGACGGGAACGGATTCCCCGGTCAACATGGCCTCGTCGACCAAGGCGTCGCCTGACAAAAGCACCGAATCGCAAGTGACGGCCACGGACTCGGCAGAAGCCGTCGTCAGAAGCAGGACGTCGCCGGGCACGACGTCCGTCGACACGACCGTCGTCTCTTCGCCGTCTCGCAACACCCGCACCGTCCGCAAAAGATGCGTGTCACTTCTCTGCAAACTGTTGATTTGCTGTGGTCACAGCAATTGGAAAAAAATTACAACATTAATTTTAATGAATCAATATTGATTAAAGTAAAGCTACACAATGAATTGAACATTCATTATACGGAGCTTTGAATCATACCCAAAAAAAGATCAATACAGTATACAGAAGCCACCTGAGACTGGTCTTTTGTCATCCTTTTCTTTTCAAAAACTGAATTGCGATTATTATTAAGTTCTGATTTTTTTGCAGTTTATGGTGGGCAAGCACGCCTGGCATTACAGTAATTATTAAATGTAAATTACATGACATAATTCCTAAAAGTCATCAATAGTTTATCCCCCTCCTCAAAATTGCAGTGCCAAGCACTTCCTGGGACCATTGCATCCTCCATTCTTGACCTATGTGTCATGGGTCCATTGGATCCCAGCCAAGAAAAAGGAATTGAATTGTGCAGCCATCAGAATGCAAGTTTTGAATAAGAACTCAATCTCTTTTCAGAGGACTTCATTCTCATTGCCCAGATCATGAATTGGTTGTTAATTGAATGGTTGTAATGGCAGAGTCAATTGTAAGATTGGTTGGTTAGCTCAGAATACTGAACGAGATAATTAAAGTTAAAAAGCCCTTTAACACTAGGTTCTCACTTCTCCTCCCAAAGAGGAATAAAGGTTTTTATACCCAGTTGCTTGGACTGCATCAAGAAGAAATCAAGTGATTTCTTTCTGGCTCATGATTGGCCAATTTCAGGGAAATCAAAAAAGGGATGACCACTTGAGTGAGGCTCAGTGAGTTGCAGAAACAGGATTTTTGCAAGGCTCACGCTGGCCTTGGAAATGCAACAAGTTTTCTTGTTCAGTTTTTAGCCAGATGCTGAAGCTGTGCTGCTTTGGGATGCAACACTATGAAAAGTATTTCTATTATATAAAGTATAAAAGCCAATGATGGTTAACCCTTGCACAGCAAAGTAGACCTTTTTCTGCAAAATTTGGTACCTGTAAGAGAAGCTTTAAAATAAATCATAACAGTGCGTCCAGGGCAAAGTCAGGAAAAATCATGGCATACTTTTTAAATACTGCAGAAAATGTTTGCACATAAATGAAAAAAATCCCTCTCCTAAAAAGGCTGAGCTTTTTTTTTTTTTACCTCATCCTTGGATTAGTTTATTACTTTCAGCTTCTTGGAGATTTCTATTTGGGCACCAGAAGAAGGGTTTTCATTTAGAGGCCACAGAAGTTAGCAATAAAAGTCTGACTTCAGGAAATCTCAACAACATGCTTTTGCCAGACAAAGTCAAACTTTGCCCTAGGCCACCTGGCTTGGCTGTCATGGCCTTCAAAAAAAATTTAAACCTGGGCCCATATCCAAGAAAATCTGGACTTCATCCTGCAATGGGAAAGCTTCTAATATATTTAGAAGCTTTTAGCCCATCTACCACAACAGGATGGTAGAATAAATAGTAAATTTCCTTTTAGATCTTTTTTTTCAGAGGAAAGCAGATAGCACATATTTTCCTGTGCTACCTTTTTGACCTTATATTGACATCAAAACCTGTCCTATTACTTCTCAGGAAATGTTTGTGCAAAGTACTCCCACGCATTGGCATCAAAAAAGGACCACGATTCATGGAATCCTATCTTGACCTGCTCAATAAAAAAGGGCAACCCCAACCTGGCCACGATTTACCCAGTTCATTGAGGTCATAAATGCTCATAAATTGTCTGGGAATGACCTCGAATCTTATCGATTCCTCTATTGACCCCAGGTTTTCTCCATCAGGTCTATACACTCAGCCTTTTTCCAAAATCAGGAATGTTTTTTGTATGGAAGATCCCACTTATTGACATATTACCGAATGTAATAGTCTTGTTTGTGTGACATCAAAGACAACTTGGAGTTCTCGTGTTTCAAAATACATTATGTGCTTGATAAAATTGTCAATGTATCGTTTTCCATCGAAAACCAGATCTTGTGAGTAAAGAAACTCTGCCTACTTCTATAAATTTTACCCTGAAAAATAATAACAAGTACACATTTTCCAAAATATTGAATCCTACTTGAAAATATGCATCACTCACTGAAAATAAACCTGAAAAACAAAATTGCGATTCCACATTTTTCTGAACCTCGCATGTTGATGAGTTACTCCTTGATTCAATATTTTTTGTGATAAATATTCCTATAAAAATCAGTTTTATGGTCTAATCAAAATTGTGCCTCTGGACTTTTAGTCAATGCCTCGCTGCAAATGTGTATGAAATCGAAAATAATAACTCAACGACATAGTGGTCATAGTTTCCAAGATAATTGATATTTTTTTTAAATGCAAAACTTTTTTCTTATCCCTTGAAGACATTTTTTGCGAGAAACATCGACTCCAAGACGGACGAATCCGAAATTTCAGAAAATATTACTTAAAATCTAACCATCGCACGATTTTTCAATCAGTGCCCTTTGTGAAGGAACTAAAAGAATATTAAAAATTAATTTCTTTGGTTTTCTTTTTGGCTCGATGAAATCCCACTTTTCTTGAACATATTTTCCAAAAAATTAAAAGAAATTTTCCCAAGCAGTCATGTCACAGTTACTTTCTAGTGCTTTAAAAAATCTCTATATTTTTTGCGTGTGCTGAAATACTTCGAAACGTGTCATTTCCAAGTAACACAGAGTCACCGGAAGTATAAACTTTGCCGATCTATATAGTAGGGGGTTTTTTTTCAACTATAGAAACGTGCAGCCGCTTGTTTTCTCCTTTGACTTATAAAGAGAGCCCCTAAAGTTTCTCTTCTCTTAAGCTTTCTGCGCTCTTATATCTCCCACACAGTCGTTTGCCAGCAAAGAGGAAATTTAAAAATTGACAAAAATAGGAGAAAAACTTTCGGTTCGTTCATCGGTGCCAAGTACACACACAGGGTTTAGACCAGATTCGGTGTTTGCCTTGTACCTGGTTGAATAATGGGAGATTTGAGCCAAGAAGAAAAAAAAAGGGACAAAGAGGGATCCGACGACAGGAATCGACGTCTCGTCGACGTCGTCGTCGTCGTCGACACCTTCTCAAGGACTGTATGAGTGACTTCAGCCTTTCAAAGTTGAGTTATACGTTTTAAAGTGTCCCCCTGGATAACTCATTCTTTCTACCTCATCCCATTTCTTTTCTTTACTGTGCCACAAAGTGTGTCAATATGGTTGCTATGTGCATTCTATGCTGACCTCATCCTCTCAAATCTATATAAAGGTGTGTATATTTCTTGATGTTACTAAGCTTTCTATCACAAGACTTTGCCAAAATACCTTGTCCTTGCAACTTTTCCCTGCTCCATATTGTTTAGCTGTGTGAATAAGATAATAAAGACACTATTTTCAAACATATTGTTGTCTTCACTGATGGAAATAAAATTGAAATTGGGAATTGCTGATCAGCAGGCAATTTACTTGAATAATTTAATTCTCTCATCCATTGACTGTTGTTGGAGATTTACCGTATTTACTCAAGTACCATATGCACACCTTTTTTCTCAAATTTCAAAAGGAAAAAAGGGGTGCGTGTCATAAGCGGGTACAAATTTTTCAAGAAGTTTTAGGAAGTTATGTGGGCATCATACTTAATTATAATGAAGAAATTTTGAACAAATGTAACAAGAAAACTTTTTTTGTACTGATAAAGTTGAAAATTTATGAGATTTTTGTTTAATTCATGTCTGAAGTTAAATTTTTTGAATTTCTTTTTTAAATTTTGGGGTTTTAGATTCACTTAAAACTTGGGTGCGCGTCTTACTCGGGTATAAGATTTTAGTCAAACTTCCAACCAAAAAACCCCTCTGCATGCCTTACTTGAGGGTGCGTGGTACTTGAGTAAAAACTGTAAGTTGTTTTCTGCATGCTTTCAAAGAATACAAAGAAAACTCCAAATAGATTTGTACATGTATTTTATTCTGTACACACAGTGTAGAATCAGTGATGTTCTTGGAGCAGAGCAATATATGACAAGGTTTTTGCAGCAGCATTTGGTCAGAGTAAACTTGAACTTATGATAAAACACACTCATATATGGACAATCTGGAATTATGGAAGTCAGCACCAAGCATAGCAACCAACTTGGATCAGTGTCAACATACTTGGTTGTGTGGTGGGCCAAGGGAAGGACAAAAACAGCATAGAATGGTGCATTTTAAATAAAGGAAGTAAAAAGGGTGTGGTTGTGCAAAAATCTTAGCAATGTGGAACAAAATGTGAAAAGAAGAACAGAACATTCTCAAGCATGGTAAAAATTGCAGTTGTGTTATTATTTGAATACAATCTATTGCAGTTGCTTTTTTACTATTCAGAAGTATGTGGAAAATGCTTTAAATCTTCAAACCTCAAGATTATGACTATACTGTATAGTTAAATGTTATCTCAATTGAATTTGAAGGTTGCTGACAAGCTGACGCAACAAGTTAGGATTTACTTGAGCTAAGTTAAGATAACAATTTTTTGTGAATAAAAATGGCTCAATTTCTTAATAATATATAAAAATTTAGAAAAATTAAAATTCCTTAAATTTTCCTAGTAATAATGCAAGAAAAGTGTCTGCATCTTGAAGCATTGTCCAAATTTTTGGCAAGTTTTTTTTAATGTATAAACGTCAAGTATACCAAATGTTTAAACGTCAAGTATACCAAATTCAACTAGTCTGTATGTCAGCGGGCGTCCGTATGTTGGGATCTCACTGGAACATGATTTTTCACTCAGATTGGAAATGTTTAGTGCGGAAACAATGCATTTCTCAAAAATGGGAAAAAAGGTACCATTTTCTGCAATAAACTTGTTCTTTACATTACAGTATCGGTCTTTTTTCAATGATGCTTGCTAAAAATATATACTTTAGAGAGATTTTTAGTAAGAATTTTAACGTGATATTGGTAGAAGAAATTGCCTAATTTCCGGGCCTCTTTTTTTTAAAGTTTTGATGGGAAATTATTTGCATTAATTAATTGAAAAAAAGTATACGTAAATATTTTGCTTAATATATAGTTTCACCTTCGACTTTCTGATTCAAAATCATTTGTTTCAATTATGGGGTTTTCACCAGCTGACTTCGTTCAGATATTTTGCATACTGATGTGCTACTTTTTATTCGAAACGTTTAAAAGAATTTCTCAAAAAATTTACACCAGCTATAAATTATTAATATTGTAGTCTCAATGTAAACAAAACTAATATATTTTTGCCGAAGAATAGGAAGGCCATCCTTTTTTTGAGTTAAGGTACCAAAAACGTTTTTAATACCCGTAAGAATTCACAGTGTTTGAAGAATTCGGTACCTGTATTTGCTTTTTTTCGTGTGTGCGGCTTTGAGCAAGACAGTGAGGAATTTGGCGCAGAAAAAAAACCAAACCTCGGATTAATTCCCTGCAAACCTTGAGCGCCATTTCAAAGGTTACTGACTTTCATTTCCTTCCTCTCCCCTGCGTCATTTCGTGACTATATGCGGAAATATTAAATTAAATCTCAAATCACAATGAAAAAAAGGCTTGTTAATCTCGAAATAATAATTAAAAATCCTGTCGTGCTCTCAAAGGAAAAACCGTGCCTCTTCGCCTGGTAAACAAAACATAATGCTTGCTCTTTTTTTTTTTTGAAACCGGGATTCACGCTATACACCCAGAAAAACGTGAATATCTCAATGAATTTTGAATATACATCCATGAAATTTATGTCAAATGAAGGTTGGGACAATGTGAACATACAAAAAAATCTTCATCCATAGCCCATAACAGTGAGCAATAATTATTTCGTCCCTGGGGAACAATTAAGTCGGTCGTAATTCGGTCTCTTCATGTGGCAAATCCCAAGGATTCCCTAACTGCAAAATTGGTGCGGAAATTTCAAAAATACAAGTGATTTCCCTATTTTTGCAGTACCTCCACCCAATATCAATTGTGCAGAAAGCAATTAATTTTCTGCATATAATGTATTAACAACAAGTAAAACCAGAAAATTACATAAATTTCAAAATTTTCACAAGTAAATAAAAGATGTCACCTTTATTTGAAGCCAAATTTCACAATTTTGAATGTATGCCATTGAAGTTTGTTATGTATAATGTTCTTCATTAATGCAATAAAGGGACACCTTGCTGACATTTTCCAGAAAAATTGAAACTTTTTTTCAATTTTGATATCTCTTGGACAAATCAAACTGTTTATATTTAAAAAAATGAAGAAAAAAACACTCATTTTAAATTTGCTCTAATTCATCATCAAAAACAGGCTTATTTTGGGCTTCCTTTTTCAGAGTTTTTTTTCTATCATCTGTGCACATTATTACAGCAAAACTTGCTTTTTGGTTTTTACGCCTCTTTGGATGCACAAAAAAACAGATTCTAGTACGTTTTCTCCTGCAGAATTGTTTTCTGTATCTTGAAGTTGAGGTAAACAATTTTATCCCCATTTTTACGGGAATCATTTCTAATTTTTCATGTACACAACAGAAACAATTAAATAAGTATGCATATTGAAGTCTATGTGGGAAAACAAGATCCAACATCCGGACAATCCCATATGAGAACAATAGGTCCAAGCACTAATTACGTCCGCATCTCGGGGTCCCACTGAATTTATTTTACACAGTCATTTATTTTTCCGTCATTTCTTTTGAAAAGGTGATTAATTGCATAATTTAATATCTTACCCGTCGGGTTTCGCGGACTGTCACCACGATTGACGAGACTGAGATGAGCAGGATAATAGTGGGGAAAAGATAATCATCTTGGAGACTCCAAACCAGGGCCGCATAGACTTGGAACAGGTAGAACGGGTTCGAAGCCTGGCAAAAATAAAGAATAAAATAAAATAAAAAATTCACTCAAAATCGATGTCAATTCGCTCGAATTTTTCTCGACGATTGAGAAGACTTTCATTATCTCATTCGTGGATAAAATGATTCCAATGATATTATTTTTTCATCCTCTTATTGTTAAGATAAATACTTAAGGGTGTGCATGACCCAATTCAGTCGCAATCGCGAGGCAAGTTTTAAAATAAAAATATAAATAAAAAAATACAAAAACTCATTCCCTGACGTCAAATAACCGATTATAAAGGAGAAAGAAAGAAAAGATTGAGTTGAAGGGACGAAGCGGTATAATTGGCATGTGATTCGTCACCTCGTCGATGACGATCTGCCAAATCGGTCGAGTGTCAATCGTCAACCGGTTTTCGCCAAAAATGCCTCGTTGCCGCTGCACTTCGAAAGCTGTCAGCCCGGAACCTTTGCACGCCAGAATTCCCGTGGTGCAGATCGCATCATATGCCCTAAATTGAGTTTTTGTGGGATGAGTGGAAAACAAAAGAGTTCCGGTGAAATGAGATGTTCATCATCAAATACTGCTGCGTATGCATCTACAGCAGTGTTGCCAACTTTTGCTCAGCATTTAAAACACCAGATGTTCTGCCTGTTCTCAGATCTTATCAAATGATGGGGTAGTTCAGACGGAATATTTGAGGATGAGAGATGAAATAGAGATAAGAATAATTTTCTGACAGTTTATTCATGAATAAGCTGATGCTCAGTTTTGCCCTGGCCCTTGTGTTTGCTGGAACTAAATTGTCCATGGCACTGATTTGTTCAAGGGTTGGTTCATAAGTTTTGAGACTTTTTGAAATACATCAAATATGGAGTTTCAACAATTAAAAAATATCCATACAGCAATTATTAAATATCCAGTGTTACCAACTGCTCAGTATTTGAAAGCCCAGGTGTACTGCCTGTTCTCAGATGTTATCAAATGATGGGTAGTTTAGAAAGAATATTTCAAGAGAGATAAAATAGAGATAACAATAATTTTCTGACAGTTTATTATTCATGAATAAGCTGATGCTCAGTTTTGCGCTGGCCCTTGTTTTTGCTGGAACTAAATTGTCCCTGGCACTGATTCATTCAAGGGTTGGTTCATAAGTTTTGAGACTTTTTGGAATACAAAAAATATGGATTTTCAACAATTAAAAAGTCATCATTTGGCAGCTCTTCAGTGCTGTTCAACACAATCCCTGTCAATTTTAATGCATTGGTTCATGCAATAAATCCAGCAATAAATACAGTGCCAAAATGTAGTTCCATTGTAGTTGATTAACACTTGTGTAGCAAAGTAGGGATATTTTTTCAAAATTCTGTGCCCAGGATTACTGAAATGAAAAAAGTTTTATCTTTGCACCAAGGTCTAAGTCAGGAAAATAGTCTGATATATTTTTAACGATCCAGCAGAAAAATTTGCCTCAAAAATGAAAAGAACAAAAGTTCATCACTGGGTGGCTTTATTCAGGAATTCCTTGCATACAATTAGCATTAGAGATTTTGGAATACAAAAGGATTCACCTTTCCCAGATTTTTTCTGACTTTGGCCTTCCCCACCTGGGCACATTTCAGTGACCTTTGGTCAAACTGAATTTGCGCCACCCCCCAAAAAGCCCAACTTCGCTGTAGGATGTATGGCCAGGAACCCTGTGCCATCCAAGGGTTAAGCTGCTCTTTGACAGCAGAAATGGGACCATCCCAGCTGTCCTCAAAATCAATCCATTCTAGGTAGTTCATCATTTTTTTGTGAACAGCAAAAGGACACAAGGTGCCAAATCAGCAAACAGATCTTGATTTTTAGCACTGTTTTGATGGTTGGATTTATCACAAGAAAAAATGCATTAAATTTGAAGGAGAGTATGTTGAACAGCAATTTATGAAATGCTGCCAAGTGTTAAAAATATTTTGGAATCGTGTAACCTCCATTTATCAAAAAGCATCAAAACTTATGAACTAACCCTTGTACTTGGGGCTCCACTATATAGTTCAAACCAAAGACCCTCAATTCCGAGTTCCTCATCCCCCCTCTTCTTTTTTCCCCCCTCGGGTTCGATCAATGTTTGACATGGGCGTTTGGGTGCGATGTGTGTCGACAGACACAAGCAAAAGAGGGGGGAGGGGGGGGGATGTGTACCCCAGTTGGGAAAATCGTCACCTTTGCGGCGAAAACGTGAAGGTGCTTTCGTCCCACACATAGCGAACTTTCTTGTAGACGAAGAACAAAGTCTTGTGTGACTGCTGCTGGGTTTCCTTTCCCTGGATTTCCTGGCTTCTGCTGGGTTCGGTGTGAACCTGGATTTCAGCGGCCGACGTCTCCTTCCTCTTCCGCTCCTGTGTATTTTCCCAATCCAGACATATTCATTTATTTATTTTCAACAGAAAAAATTTCCTGGTACGAATCTATTCATTCAAAAGAAAAGAGACGCCAAAGTATATGTCAACACTGACCCAAGTCAGTTGCTATGCCCACAATGCTTACCTCCATGACACAAATCTTTAAATGCAGGTGTCTCCTAATATGTTGGAGCAAGTTTACTGTAACTGGACTTTGCTGCAAAACTGTGCTGTCATTGCTCTGCTCTGCAATGCATATTATCTTACTGTGTAAAAAGATTAAATAAAGCATTTCTAGTATAGAAAGACCTCATTTTGGAGTATTCCCTGTATTCTTCAAAAGCTTGAAGAAAATTATTTAAATCTCTGACTCCAATTCAAAGATTGGTAAACTTTCAAGAACAAGAACCAAATATGTAGTTTGACATGGGCGTAACTATAAAAGCGGCAAATAAAGTGTTCTGTTCATTCATTCATTCAAGAACCAAATTCCCTGATCAACAATATTTGGAATTTAATGAAACTGTTCATACCAATTGAGAAAATAAGATAACAATAGCAGAATTCATTGCTACTTTTGATCAATTTATTATGCGGCAGAAAGTTTCCTGCAGACTGGCAAAAAAAAATCTGTAGACCAGTGCTGGTCCTTGGACACTGGGTTGGGGAACACTGTCTCAACCTTCCTGTGGCAGCAATGGTAAATAATTTCAAAAATTTGGAACCCAGAAGCACTATAGAAATTAAAAACTGATTTTGAGCAATTCCGTTATAAAATTTTCAAACAGAGTCTCACTGCAGGAGCCATGAGGGTGGCTCCCAGAAAGCTTGCGAATTTGACAGTGGAGCAATACCCCATTGCTCAACTTTGTTTTTGCCCTTTGTACCCACACCTCCTGAATTTCAGGAATGTGTGCACCTTCTTGGAGGCAGCATGAAAAAATTTCTGGTTAAATTAATGGTCCTGCACTCCATTTATTTCCAAGAACAGCTCTGAAGAATAGCAGCTTAGTGGAAGGAGCATTGCCTGAAAACTTTTTTTGTTTTTTGAAAGTGTTTATTCAAGGGATTCTTGTGCCCATGCCATGACACCTGGAGCCATAAAAACTCACACCATTTGGAATGGAATTGTACAACTTTTCACTTGAGTTTTTCAATTGCCACATCTCAATTTGCTACCAAGCTATATTAAAACAAAGAGTATTTCTCTTTTTTTTGGTCCACCCTGTACATATCATTGTGTCTGAGGTGAATAAATGTAATGGGTTGTCACTATAACTTGGTAAACTGTTGAAGCTTATTTCCCTTGAGTTGACATGAGACAGCAGTTCTGATTTTTTTCAAATTTTTTCATAATCTCCAAATTTTCTGCTGCATTTAATATTAATTCCTCCCTACAGGAGGTATGCCTTTTCAATTTCCAACAGTATTCCAATTACCCAACACCTAACCAAAATGTAATTCAAAAATATGAAAATGTAGATCTTCTTGGATTAATCATATCAGTTATCAACCTTTTAAATTATTGAAGCACCTGAGTCTCCAAAAGATCATGATGGAATACAAAATGCTGAAGCGTGTTTAAATAGTGCAAGGGGGCACTGGTAAAATGAAAGATAAGTAAGGTAGTTTCAATAAGATTATTTAAAGTAGGCTTGGTTCAAGATAAATTGCATGAATAGGGGCTTGACATCAAGATTGTAAGAGACAAGGTTAATTTGGGTAGAGAGATTAAGTAGAACATGCAGATAAGATTGTAGTACAATTATTCAACCGCAAAAATGAGATCCACATGAAAAAACTAGTCCTTTTCCAATACTGAACTGTATTCACCATTGGAAACACACAAAAAAGCATACAATTTTTCATGTAAAATACAGGAAGCCCTGTGATTAAAGAATTTTCTACTCATTAAGCAACTTGTTTTTGAATATCTTAAGGTTCTACACTCAGAACATCTGATACAAGTAAAGATGAGTTTCAGTCACCCCCCCCCCCCCC